AGATGGCCCATCAGGTTGAAGGTTGATGGAAAGCAACACTCCTGTGCTTAGCAATGTCAAACAAATCTGAGTGACGTCACTGCACAGTATGCTTCAGGCATCCTCCACTTCTTCAGGGTGAAAACAGCATCTATCACAGCTTGCTGAGTAAAGGTAGATAAACTGCAGTGAATGTACACTAATAATATGCTAATAACATTGTCTGATTATATGAAGTCATCAGATTATTTGTTAACAATTTCTTTTACACTTCTTTTTATATCAAAATAACCTTAAAGTCAAAAACACTGTAAACACCCTGTTTACTTCTGTAAACAGCAAAATCTTCAAATCATCACCCATTAAATGCTAAACAACTATGGGTGAATGTTAAATAGTGCTAAGCAATGTAGAGCTGATTATCCCCCTAAATGGCCATGGGCTTACACACTTCTGTAAGCTAAGAATAGCTCAGCCAGTTTGCCCTGAAGTCCCTGTAGTTACTGAAAAATAAGCCTTAGTATGTAATAAGTCTGGAATTTTAAGGGGTTAAGCTAGCACTAACTTGGCAGGATAATAACTTAACTAGCTCAATACATCAACTGGCAGCAGAATAATGATATCTCAGAATAATGACATACTATGTTGAAATAATGACTTATATTCACAAAAGTTTGACTTATTAAATTCTGACTTACTATGTTGAAATAATGACATATTCTTAAATGTTTGACTTCTTATCAGGGCTCCAGACTTGCAACAACCAATAACTCCAGCAGTTGCAACCACAATTATTAATTAGCAAGTAATAAAATTAATTAAGTTGCCAGTGGCAACTTTGGATTATTAATATTTTTATGGGTAACTATTTATTACCATTGTTCTGTATTTATTACCTTTTTTTGTTTTATGTATTTTCTTTTATCATTTTTCATCTTAAACGTGTCCGCCTATCAAAAAAAGGCCTGCGATCTCATGGGATTTCAACCAGAGCAGTAAAACATAACAAAGTAGATGAGCTGAGCTGAGCTTTTTGCCGTGAACGTCAGAGTGTAGAAAATGGCGAAGCAAAAAAGAGACCTTAAGAGGTCATCTGCTCAACCCCAGTCTGTCTCAGGACCAGTGAACTAGTGAAAGAAGCACACGAAGATTTATTTTGAACAGTCGTCCACTTCAAACACTTCATGCAAAAGTACAACCACAGAAAGACATTTCCAAACTTTCTGGCTTTCAGGAATTTGTGTGGCTCAGGTATGATAACATGAAGCGGATTATGTACTGTGAATTTTGTTGGAAAGCAAGCAAAAATATAGCTGAAAAAAATTTATTTCTTGACAGGAACGAGTCATTAAAAAAAAGAGACTATGAAAAAGGACGAGAGGCGAGAGTTGAATGCAGAAAAATGTACAATTTCATTATGGCAAAGTGCTAACTCCCTTAGCCCGCGCAGTGTCTTGTGCATGCGAAAAAACAGCTGAGAAAGAATTCAAATAGTTTAAAATGAAATTCAACACAGCCTACAAGATAGCACATGAAGAACTACCCTTCACCAAATTTACCTTCCAAATTTTGTTAATGAAAAAAAGTGGACTGGACATGTCGAAGACAAGAATCAGGCATGGTAGAAGGCAGAGATACCTAAATTTCAGGGCTGATCTGAGGTGTGTTGAAAAGCTTTGTTTTTTTGCATATTATTATTTGGCACTTATAAAAAGCTATTGGCGCCTGATTGTTTTCTTTTAGGAGCCAGTGGCTCCTTAAGTTCATTTTTTGTTTTCTCTAACTATTGACTTACTGTATCAAAATAATGACTTATGTAGAAATAATTACTTCCTGTCTTGAAATTTAATAACTCATTATTTCTACATAGTAAATCAATATTCTCTTGCGTCAGTTTCTTGTGAGAGTAAAGGGGTTTTTTATGTCCAACATAGCAACTATCCAGGGAGGAGCCTGGATAGTTCAACTAGATCATCGGATGAGTGCTTGTTTACTCTTAATCTGGTATCTTTTAATTTTTCAACATATATGCGTTTGTGCAAACAGAACTGAGTAGAGTTGAAATGCCTTGTGTGCAGTAAACAACAATTAGCAGAAACATGCCAGATTTATTGTGTCCCCATAGAAGGTTCGGTTCGTTCACTTAGTTGCAATTAAAAAAATTAACATGTAATTTAACCAGTGCCAAAACATTTGTAGATGACTGTAATGGTTTATATAATGTGAATTCGGTGTAATAATGTGCACAGATGAATGCAGCGTTTCACGGTGGCGGTCCCTGTGTGTTCAATTCATACACAAATGCTGTGAATGTATCCTAAAAACAAATTTAAAATGACTTTCAAATATGTTTTGTAAATGAGCCTTGTAAAGGTTTCCTATTGAAAGATTACTTAAGTGCATGTAAACACATTTGAGAAATTATTACCAAAATCTGACCGGCTGCAGTTCTCAGTTATCTTGCTCATGTGAAGGTACTCAGTGAAAACAGTAAGGTATATGAAGCAGTTTTAATTTATGCACATTAAAACAAGCGAACAGAACTTTTGCAGGTAAAAAAAGAATTAGTAGAAATCGAAACATAAACAGAAATCCCAGCACTTTGATTATTCCTTTCCATCACAGGTGGTTGGTTATCTTCATGAAGAAATTCATTTACCCTTTTAATAATGAAGAAAAAGCTTCCCTTTACAAAATATGAACACAGTTGGTGTAATAATACTAGTCCTTGTAACTTCTAAACATAAAATATGCTCATAGTATTCAAATTATCAAAGGATTAGAGTTATAAAAAAGGTGCCGTTAAAGTGGAACTGGAGTGTTACGTTCTCTCCCTCTTGTTTTTTTGTACTTTATTTACCACCGAATGTTAAAATAATGATTATGTTGATGAATTGCTGGGTTAAAGTGGGGCCAACTAACACTGCATTATAATAGTTTGATCTACAAAAGCTACACAGACATACAGTTAATGCTGAGTGTAACTGTACAACAAAACACTGACCACTGTTAGTAACTTGGCTAACGAAAGCCTGAAAGAGACACATTTGAACACATTTGCCAGACACCAAAGTATCTACATCTTGATTGTCTGGACTTTGTCTGACGTGCCCCAACATTTTTCATTACTATTTTTTGATGGGTGAATTCAGTCCCTGGCCACTTTATCGGAGACTCCACCTTGCTGGTATACAGTTAGAGCCTGTAGCTCATCTGTTCACCAACAGTCCGTGTTAGCCATCCTCTAGCCCATCATCAGTGGTCAGTTTCAGACCACAGAGCTTCTCTTAGCTGGATATTTGTGGGTGGTGGACCACTATAAAATTATAAAAATGTACCTTTTTAGTCACTTACTTGTCATATTTTAAATTCCACTGTCTGTTGAAATAACCCTGGATCTCACCCTGGATTTTCTGTCTCATGATGGCGAATCAGTTTTTACATCACTATGGCAACTTATGCTGAATGTCCAACCTGCTCCAGGGCCGGTTAAGTTCAGGGGTTCAAATCAGCTTCTGACCACTCAGTGTTGACCTTCTGATTGATCAAGGTCAAGCTTCTGACTAATCAGAAGAGGTTTCTGGCCAATGAGGGCTATGCTTCTAATTAATCAGTGTTGAGCTTCTGACCAAGCAAGAACAAGCTTCTGAACAATCACAGTTGAGTTTCTGAACAATCAGAGTTGAGCTTCTGATCAATCAGGGCTGAACTTCTGACCAATCAGGGTTGAGGTTCTGGCCAATTAGGGCTGAACTTCTGACCAATCAGGGTTGAGGTTCTGGCCAATCAGGGCTGAACTTTGGACCAATCAGGGTTGAGGTTCTGAATGCTTTACATTCTGCAGATTTATATAATATGATTCATTTTTCTTTGTTTGCTTGACTCATGTTTCACATGATTGGCAGTTCATCAAAATGTCATGCTTTCATGCACATGGGGATCATTCACAGTCTGAGTGTCTAAACCTGGATTAACAGAGAAAGTTGTTAACTGTCAGTGTAAAACAAATTAACCATGATTACGTTTGTTAGGTTTTGTGATGCTGAAACTTTTCTTAAGAATTCCAAAGCTAAATATGCTTCATGAGACTTCATGAGCTTGTAGGAGGTCGTAGTCTAGTCATAACTACTTGATTTAATAAGTATATATATGTAGTAAAGTAATTAGTTGGCAGTTTGAATGATGATAATACAATTTAAGAGCCTGATGAACACACCAATTTATATGCATTTCTATAAATTATAGAATATCCGAAAGTCTATGCATAGTTATTACTGTTATTGTTCAGTTAAATCTATTTTTCTTTTTTATTTGATATTTGATTCTTCCTCAAAATAAGTGATAGATTGATTGATTACTAATATACAGTTGAAAAAAGTATGCAAACGTTTGCACAGCCCTGGTAAAATTGATATTTTGTTGATTTTCTGAGTGAAAACAGGTCAACACAGTTCTGCAAATTTCAGTTCAAATTTCAGTCATTTATGTGCTGATTTTAATATATTGAAAAAAAACTTTTTTTTTTCACATTTTATGTTTAATTTCCAGTATGTTAAATTCAGCAAATAAACTGCAATTGTGCATAAAAATATGCAGATGTGTGTTGTCTGTAGAGGATGTGTTAACTTACTTTCATCTACATAATCAACCAAACACAAAAACATTTGACCGGGGCACCCAAACTTTTGCAACACTGCTGTGGCTGATACACTCATACTAGCACCACACACATTACTATGCCAGTGTCACTTCTGTGCTGAGAATGGACCACCAAATAATATCTGGTCAGAGGTGGCCATGTGGTCAGAAACTGACCCTTGATGATTGGGCTATAGGATGAGGGGAGGAGCTGATAAATTGCAGTCTGTAACTGTACACCTATGTAGGTATGTATTACCTATAAGGTAGCTGTTTGTAACAAAGAGGCCAGTAAGTGGAAATATAAGGCGGGGCTTTCTGATAAAGTGGCCGGTGAGCGCATTCTGGGCACGTATGTAGGACCTCAGGAAGATGTCGACTCAGCAAAGCAGACAAAACTGTCCAGAAATGCAAAAACAACCATGCGAAAGAATGAAGCGACGATGAAGAAAAAACACAATGGGTGAAAATCATGCAAAAAAATAAAAGCGCCAGTGTTTCTCCCCAAACGTCAGGGATTTTCCCAGAGAGTTCACAGGAGTCACATAGGGATCAAATCGCCTTCCTTAAAAAGTTTTTAAAACATTTCTCCAGCCTTGGAGATGTCATTTTTGTTGCTCTTCATGTGCAAGAGTTTTCAGAATTGGTTTTTTTTTTGTAGTATAACATCCACAAGAGCAAAAGTCCTCGTTAGCTTGAAGATGGTACGGTGGGAGTTTTGACAGGTGATGTTGAAATGGTCCCACAAAAAATGTCAAATAGCAAATCACAAAGCAAAAAAAAAGTAAAAATTAGACTGCATGTACTACTCGCAGTGTTGAATCTGCGATATTAAGGAGCACTGGCCTTAAAAATCCGGCTTTAATAGTCATCATAGGTGTTGACGTCTGTGAAGTAGGCATTGGTGTATGTTTTTCCAGCGAGCTGAGGGTTAAAGTATTTATTTCTTTCCTCCAGGATCAAGTTATTCTTATTAAAAGCCTGCAAATGAGAGAAAAGTGCATTGTAAGTAAGGTTTCTGAAGATTATTACCTTTAAATAAGGCAAAAAGCACAAATTCATAGAGAAAAATGTTTCTCAACAGCATTCCACAGATTGGTGAAACAGGCAAAACACACAAAACAAAGAAAGAAAGAAAGAAAGATGACTGTAATTAAAACAAAAAACACGACAGCAAATGATCGGGTGTTATGGCAGATGGCCTAATTGTATAAAGCTGAATTTTTTTTATTTCAGGACATATTTGGTTTAATATCCATAGTTTGAGATTGACTAATTATTTAACAAAAAGAAGTTTAAAAAATGCTAAAGGTATTAACAAAATATTTAAGAAATAAATATATACCTACAAACGCCCCACAAAGAGCATTCATGTAACTAGTTACATCAGAAAGTGCTGCATTATAGGGCAGTTAGATTAACTGCTTGCCCACTTTTCCCTCACAAAAGTTGAAGCTCATTTATATGGAATTTTCTGTGGTAACAGTCAGACATGGTGTGTGGGGACACTCTCGGGGGCATAAAACAAGCAACAAAAAAGGTGAAGAACAAGACGTTTGATTTGAAAAGGAAGTGAACGACAACAAACAATTAAAAGAGGAAGGAGGACTATAGAGAAGATTCAGGCCCAAACATTAAAGCAATCATAACAGCTAAAAGAAATGTGAAATATAGTGGACAAATGTCATTAGAAAATGTGCCAAACTCAAAACAAAACCTGCATTACATTGTTCAGATGTTGCTTATTCTCTTCACTGAAAAACAATTAGCAGGGATTTGCTTTTTAAGAGTTAATTGCTGTTCTTGTGTACTAATTTGTGTCAGCAATGAAAGTAATCCACCTTGATAAAAAACGCAGATACATTGCATTCCACTTGCTTTTCTTTTTTTTCTTCCAATTCCCTCCCCAATTTAGTCATATCCAATTCCACCCACTAGCTAGCCCCCCCCCTAAATTACACAAATTACCACCAGCACTAGGAGGGTCTTGTGAAGTCCTGTGAAGCCAGCTAACTGCCGCTAACGCAACGTCATTGGACTGAATGTGCTTGGAGGAAAGCATCAACCTCCAGTTCTGTTATGTCAGCTAACATACGCCTGTGCTGGCTTTGTGTTATGCTTGGGGCAAAGAGGGGGTATCCTGTCCACCTAGGGGGAGCAGGCCAATTGTGCTCTCTTGGACTCGTGGCCACGGATGGCTGTAGCATCACCGGGGATCAAACTTGGGATGCCCTGATGATAGGGCCAAGGCTTAGATGGTTGCACCACTCAGGAACACCCCTCCTCTTGGCTGAACTTGAGGGAATAACTGTAGTCATTGTCCAATCACAGCCCCCTGCCGACCTTGTGGGGATTGTTCCTATCACTGTCCAGTCAAAGCTCTTGGTCGAAACTGGGGGCATAACTGTAGTCAATGTCCAGTTATAGCCCTCATTCGAACTTGGAGACAACTGTAATCACTGTCCAATCAGAGCCCTCAGTGAAACTTAAAGGCATGTCACTGCTATCACTGTCCAGTTATAGCCCTCATTCGAACTGTAATCTAACGTTAGCTAGCTATCTTTGTCACTCAAAGTGTGTACTACTCAGTCTGTCATCTTGTGTTTTTTGGATTATCAGTTATTTTGTTTTCTATTTTATTTTGTACAACCATTAAAAAGCCAAACTATGCTTTATTCACGTTTTAGCAACCCTTTTATTTTAAATACAGGGTATCAGACAATGCCATACTATACTAATTTGATTTTAACAAAACATGTCACGTACTGTTTTTCATTGCAAGGGCTCAACTGATGTCAGAACAATGTAAGGAAGGGTTTGCTCTTCAGTTTAGTGTGCATTACTGATAAAAGGTGATGCAATTTGAGTACTGCACTGCATGTGCTTTCACTGTTATGCCTGAGGCACTGAATCTTCTTTATAGAGAAATGAAACGTCAAGCAGCAAAACGTTATGAGTGACGTGGCCATTCCACAACAACACCAACGCAGAACAGGCAAACACTACACTGCCTTCTCACAAGCCTCGGTTGCTGCCCTGTGGAATGGAATGTGAGATGGAGAAATAATCTGGATTTTGGATGCATGGGCACGCACACCTGCCAAAACGTACACGAGGGTGACGGGGGGGCGGAGACGGGATTCGCAAGAGGAGAGGAGAGGGCATGTGCTGTTGGAGAGTTAGTAGAAAATCTCCAGGCCGCGGGCCACGCCAGTGTTAGTGGACAAAGGCTGGCGCATGCTGTGGTCATCCAAAGGCAACAGTACGGAAACATCGGGCTGTAAAGAGGAAGGGAGCAGAGTCACGTCCAAAAAAGCCCATCATACCACCTACAGCCTACCGCTCCACACGCTCCAGAGAGTTTAATGAATAATCCCCCATCACATCACTCTCAGACTTCTGTCATGGCTTATAATTACCTTCATGACTTCTAACCACTGACTAAACTCCTAACTAGCCTATTCCTGGAATCTGTAATTCTGTTCTACATTCATATTGAACCTATTTCCCACCATATCTACCATCCTGGATTGTCCTACACAATTACTAGATCCTCCAGACTTTAACTTGTTTATCTCCTGGATCCATAGGCTATGTTTTAATCAGCAGACAAAAATCAAATTTACAGTTCTCCCACCTTACTGCAAATGTAATTAATCAGCCAAGACATGTTTGATGTCTGAAGTTCCCTTCTTTAGTTTTGCACTGGAGCTGAACTGCATGCCTAAATCACAGTGATAAACTGTGGTTATTAGAGTTAAGCCTTCAGTTTGGGCCACAATGTCAAAAACTGAGCAAAAACCCATCTCTATGATAACGCTCCTATGGGATTTTAGTATTATGTCAATGCCAACAGCAATTCACATTAACATTTTTATTGCCATTTTAGATTAACTGCAGACGTCTGAAGCTTCTAAAAGACATTCCATGTTTACATGTTCACCATTTTTTATCTTGTATGTATCAGTTTTAAAGTGACTCTTTCAGTAAGAGTCCTGGTATAGAGCTATATTTCACCATTCCTAACAGCTAACTGAAACCTGACTACAGCTTGTACTCACACTCAGTGATTTATTTAGAACTTCCAGAAGGCCTAGAGTAACATTTGCCTCACTAAATTTCCACAGAAGTCCCATTGTAAATCAAAATGTGATTCATTGATTCCTCTGTCACTGCTAATTATGTTAGAGGATAATCAAACACATTAGGCCTCCAGTCCAGCTCCTGAACTCCTAACCAATGGGAGAGCTCGCTTGGCTGTATCTAGATACTACAGAGAAAACAATCCTGATTAGATTGGACAATTTTTTTTGGCCGTTTTAAATATTGGACCTTCTCATTTCCAACCAAAACTTAATGTGAAGTAAGAGCATTACTCCAATACTTGCATAGTTTAAATACAATAAGCATGATGATTCTATTAAAATAAAAATGAACTAAACATTACAGGCATCATTAGACCTTCTCTGAAAGCCCAGAAGGCCCTGAGGGGTCCTCAATAATAAATCATGACATTCTTGCCCTAAACTGTTTGGAGTTGTTCAGCAATCTCTAATAGACTTGCTTATTCTGACATAACGTGCTCTTATCCTTAAACATGGACCAAAGTATGTGGCATAGTGAAAACAGTAGCTATGAACAACAACCAGCATACAATCTTCAAGCATGGATTTTGTCTGTACCTTGTCATCTTGGCTGAGATTTGGCTAAAAATATGCAATAACAAATGTAAATTTGATTTTTGGCTGAACATTTGGTTTCATTTTCTCTGTAAATGATAAGTCAGGTCAACTTAAAATTATAAGGTAACTTACCTTTTTTATTTTTCAAAATGTGTATAATTAAATGGCTAAGAAGTAAACAAAGTCATTCAGGATGGTTTGGTGTGAAATGCTCTGTTCTAGAGAAACTTACCAAGTCAATTGTTTACAGTGGTGGTGGTGATAGATACCAGACGTCCACCTCTAAAAGCTCCCACACAGAAAGTTATTACATGAAATGGTTATGAATACACTGCCTGATGCCTGAGGCATTTTTTTACAAAAGTTGTGAGAAGGTGTTGGCCTAAAATGTATTTTTAAAAATATATTCTTGGCTTGGAGATACATGTAGGGTGTTGAAAGTCAAACTAGTCCCCAAAGAAAACTTCTTGTTTTTCAGATTTACCACTTTACACATTACATATAAAAAGAAGACACATGTGGGTTGACTGGTGGTTTTGGATAGTACATAAAGTGGCTATATTTGTGTTGCAGACATTGTAATCCCTGGTCTTAGGAACTTAGGAACTGATCACCACCACTGTAAAAGAATGTGAGCTAAGTTTCTCTATAATGACATACATTTCACATCAGACCACTCTGAATGACTTTGACTCAGCAACTGAATTAAGCAGAAGTTTTGAACCATCTGGTGGAATTCCCCTTTAACTCGACATGTGGGCATGAGTTCACCAGTGCCAAGCTGAGTTCATTTTAAAATCAGCTTACAATCTTACAGTATACTGCATCAGATTAGTTAGTGAAAATGAATTTTACAGCAATTCTATCCACTATACTTCATTTTCTCTATCTTATATCAGAATTTATCCATTTATCCATTATTGCTGACTGACTACCAGGCTATATAGAATGTCCTTTGTTCACATATTCCTTTGTGGCTATAATACACTACACTGAGTTTTCTAATGAATTACTGCATGTAACTCCACAACAGAGTCTCTGCACTCGCAATAAGGGTGAGCTCTTCGTCTAATTAGCCCAGACTCAAGTCAAATGAAGCCTTAATTGTTCTGTTGACTGCACTTGCAATAAAGCAGGAGCTTCTTTATAATCACTTTGCCTTCATCAAGCTACGTCTGTGTCAAAAGATCCACTCATTCAAATCTCAAATTGATGATAATGAGCTCCTTTCAAAAACAATAGCAGTACTCTCTGAGCAAAAAGTGCACATTTTGGATTAGCTCTCCTTTCATAATACAGACACAGACATGCTTCTTTATTTTTCCCTCATGAGATAATCCTCCCTGAGCGTGGAACACAGGTTAGGGAGTTAGCTCATCACTTATGAGAAAGCAGTGTATGAGTAAATGAGTGTATTTAGACAGAAACGGCACACTACAGGACAAAATTACACACATGGACCACACAGCAGACTCTATAGCTAATAGTCTGTATGCTATTTTAAAGCACTGGACAGGGATTACTAACCTTAATGGCCTCCACCGAATCATATTTGTCCAGTTTGTTGATGTGGTTGGTGATGCTGGTATTAAGCGGGGCAGCGGAGATGGGGTGGATGACTGTTGCATCATGTGACTGCTGCTGGTACCTCTGGCAATAGGTGTAGACCAGTAAAGTGACCAGACAACCCAGTATAGAGCTGCTTAAACCCACAGCGATCATGTGGAAGACGTTAAAATCTGGTGACAGAAAAGGAGCATTGGTGATGTTGGTGATAATGACAATCCAAAGCTAGTCAGAATTACTAAGAAGTCAGTTACCACTACACTTACATTACACTTACAAGGGCATGGTGTAATTTAATACTATAAAACAGATTCTAAAATCTAATTGGCTGAGCTGAGTTTAAAAACACTGTAGAAATACTCAATATAAGCTATGACCACTTCACAACAACTGAACTCTGCATTAGTGGACAAACTCTGTGCTGTCATGCTGCTCACATGGACCACGGAGTGTACTGACAGATGAAGGAAGAACCTGGTTCTGTTTAAACTGAGGAGCTGAAAGCTAATTTTCTTAATAATTAAAAAGTCAAGTTCAAAAACATTTTTGACTTTTAACTCACTTGGACTTCACACTAAAACCCTTTTGCTTTGAGTGATACCTTAATTATGTTTATTTGAAACTGAATTATGACTGAATATTCCATTTTGTCACCACTTTGCCAAATGTTTCTGTAGTGACAATTTTAGCTCATTTTGAGCAGAACGTCAAAAACACTAGCTAGTATATGAGTAGCAAACACAGCTTTGAATAGTTGCACAGACACAAAATTATTGAATATAAAAAATAAAATACACAAAATAAAATATTTTTATTAAAACACAAACGTTTACTTAACTGCAGAAAATATGTGTTTCAGTAGTGACAGTCCTTAATGTTACACACTTATTTTCAGACTTTGGGACACATTTACTTCAGAACAATGGGATCTAACTGCTCACCATGTGGCCATGAGGGACAAGGATGCAGTCTCACTTCCTGCTCTAAAATGTAGGGGTGTGGCTAAAATAAGATTATGCGTATAATCTAAAACTCTTTGTGTTTCAGTGACATGAAAATGTTACAGCAAAATTGAAATCTCTCGATTATACTTTGAAAGAAATCCAAAAGATCTTCAAAACTATGATTAAAAAACAAACAAAAATATGCAAGGATTATTTTTCAGCAGTCAAAATTCAGGGGTTAGAGTTTGGGGCAGATACCTCCCAATAAAGAGTACCCCGTAAATGATGATTTTGTATATATTTAACATATTACTGCTTCCTTAATTAATGTCTTGGGTTTAAATAGATCAGAACGTGATCCTTGTAAATATCTAGGAACTGAATACTTCATTTTTTCTTTTTGGGACCTTAATTTGATGTAATTCAGTAGAATGGTCCATATATATATATATATATACATACACACATACACAACAGGAAAGCTTCATTCTGATAGTGCACTATATGTCCATATAGGAATTGTGCACACGTGGCTGCATCATAGTACTCATAGTAGGGAGTAGGGAGCCATTTGAAATTCAGTCCCATTGTGGGAAAAGGGACACACAACGCTGTGAAATTATTATTATCATTACGATGGTACTTGTCAGAACAAAAACTACTTAGAAGGTGAGGGATTATGCTAAGTTATGATATTTTCATTATTGTATGACAAACTGAAATGACTACAATGTAAACGGTAAATATAGTGGCTTGGCAAAAATAGACTACTCTAAATAACTACATTACATGGTGGAAGAATTGATCTTTATAATTGTTGTTAATAATAACAAACTATTTATTGAAAATGTGTATTTTATCATATTTATGTTGTGGCTTCTAAAGCTCTGTTCATCATTCTGGGACTGTCTAACATTTCTTCTTTTTTACATCTTCATACTCATTAGCTGATATCTGTGAAGTTGTAGAGCAGTAGCATTATAGTAGTAACATGCAACACAATTTGCTTTACATGAATGAAAACAGTGATTCTAAACTTTGGAACGCATCCATTGTATATCTGTTCTGTGAAAAGTTTAAAACTGATAATGCTTTCTGTAGCACACACTGTCTAGACCACTGTTTGATGAGAATACTAATAATAAAAGTTCAGATCAAAGGGCATAGCTAAGAGCTCAGGGGTCTGAATTGCATAACCAACGAGAAAAAAATGTTATAATAGATGAAAAACATAATTTTTTTTAAAATATGTACAAAAATCGTGATTATTACAGAACAGCAAAATGGTTCTCATACATCCCCCTGTGTGGTGTGATATGTGTAAGACACTGAATAAATCATTACCCCCACACTGTCTGTCCTCATGACTGGAATGCGCAACAGAAATCTCTGAGGAGGAAAAGGTACAAAACACAAACTGTTAGAGTGATAAAACAGATCCAGACATTTAATAATAAATGTGGCAGCAGTGGTGCTTTCTGAGACACAATTTCAGATGCAATTGAAAGCAATGAAGTCCCATAATGCAATACATCTGAAGACTTGTACAGAGCCCTGCTGAGGACTTTGTGTGGTCACGACTTCGTAAACTATCACAACTTCATTATCTTGTTTCCACACTTTACTAATTCATAGCCTCTATTTAATAATTTGTTCTTAAGACTTTCTAAGTCATGGCTACAACTTTACTACCACTACTTAAATATCTTGTTCCCATGCCTTACTAATTTGGGGCCACGACTTTCACAATTATCTCATTTTCAAGCCTTATTAAGTCATGGCCATGACCTAACTAAGACGACTTAGTTATCTCATTCTCAAGCCTTATTAACTGTGGTCTTGAACCAATTATCTCATTCCCACAGCTTCCTAGGTCATAGCCTCAACTTAACTCGCACAACATAATTATCTTTTTCCCACACATACTCACACTTTACTATGTGGTGGTCACAACTTAACTATCCCAACTTAATTGTCTCATACCCACACATTAGTAAGTGGTGGCCACAACTTAACTATCACAAATTAATTGTCTCATACCAACACTTTACTAAGTGGTGGCCACAACTTAACCGTACCAACCGATTTGGTGCCGTTAAATAATGTGTTTAACTTTTGTAATGTTAATAATGTTTATAATGGAAAAGCACAAAATCTGTTTCCATATTTTTTCACATCCATAAGCTAGGCTAGCACTTCACCTCTTGACTTTAGCTTTAATCGCCTCGCAGGACTTTAGTGTTCTCATATTGCGGCTTGTGTCTGCATGGTTTAGCTCACTCGAGTTAAAAGCATCTGCTATTACTGTATAACTGAACATAAGGCTGAGGAAAAAAATTATCTACAGGAAGGGAAATAAGTGATAAAGCAGCTTTCATTACAATGGGTCTGCTGGACTGGGCTGTTTCAAACTAACCTTAGGGTAAGCTCATTCAGATAAAAAAAGAAGTGCTGTTCTTAATACAATATATTGTATGAAACTATTTGTTTTACATGGCACATCGTACATCACTTTCCCTGCCCCTGTATACACCAGATGAGATGCTTTCTCACATTGGCCAGTGTGTACAAACAGTAATACAGGTAGTGTCTCAGCTTTCCTGTGCTTTTGTAAATGCAAATGCTTCGGAAAACATATTCCTGTAATGCATTTGTTTGATCGGGGCTATTAGATGAGGAAGAGGATGAGCCGCTAATTAGCCTAGTGCTGCTGCAATCAATGGTTTGGTGTGTCTTGCATTACTGCCTGTCAATAAGAGGAGATGCTTGTTTGTATTGTAGTCGATACAGACCATACTGTAGTGTGTTAGAGTGAGTGTATGCTTTTGTACATTTTCAGGACAAATTGCTCCTGACTTTGTAAAGTTTGTTACATTTTCTAGAATTAAAAGAGCAAAATCATTTTCCTTATTATATATATATATATATATATATATATATATATATATATATATATATATATATATGGACATGTACACTCACCGAGCACTTTATTAGGAACACCTACTTTGTGTCTACACTCATTGCCATATATGAGTACTCTGTAGTTCTACAATTACAGACTGTAGTCCATCTGTTTCTTTGCATACTCTGTAGCCCCCTTTCACCTGTTTTTCAATGATCAGGACCCTCACAGGACGACCAAGAGCAGGTATTACTGGGGTGGTGGATCATTCCCAGCACTGCAGTGACACTGAGGTGGTGGTGTGTTAGTGTGTGTTGTGCTGGTATGAGTGGATCAGACACAGCAGTGCTACTGTCCACTCCATTAGACATTGCTACCCTGTTGGTCCACCTTGTAGATGTAAAGTCAGAGACAGTAGCTCATCTGTTACTGCACAGTTTGTGTTAGTCATCCTCTAGTTCTTCATCACAGGATGCTGTTGAGTGGATATTTTTGGTTGGTGGACTATTCTCAGTCCAGCAGTTACATTGAGGTGTTTTAAAACTCCAGCAGCACTGCTGTGTCTGATCTATTCATACCAGTGCAACACACACTAACACACCACCACCATGTCAGTGTCACTGCAGTGCTGAGGATGATCCACCAACCAAATAATACCTGCTCTGTGGTGATCTTGACCATCGCAGAACAGGGTCAAAAGGGGCTAACAAAGTACGCAGAGAAACAGATGGACTACAGTCTGTAATTGCAGAACTGTAAAGTGCTATGGTAAGTAGAGCTGATAAAATAGACAATGAGTGTAGAGACCCACACACACACACACCCACACACACACACACACACACACACACACATATATATATATATATATATATATATATATATATATTATATATATATATATTATATATTGTATATATATATATATATATATATATTTACTGCCCAGATAAATAGGTTTTTAAATGTAATCTTCGCAGGAGCTTAAGACTTTTGCACAGTACTGTATATAATACATATCTCACATATGTATGACTGCATATTGTTACATTGTCTAAGAAAAGCCTCTGTGTATGTGAATGCATACCTGGGATGTAGTTGGATTCGGTGAGGCAGGCGCGGCTCTCGCTGCTGTTTCCTGCACACTGGTTGCCGGTGGGGAAGAGAACGTCACAGTGACGAAGACGCACTTGAACACCCGAAGAGTCACAGTGGGACCACTCAGACCAGTCTGACCAACTCTCTATGGAAATGTTAATAAAAGAACGTTACTTTTTTGCTTCTCTACAGGCTCTGATACTTTTACTTTGTCCTGGATCCTTATTTGTATAATTTCTGCATTGACGGCGAATAAGAAAACCTCTAAAAGGGTCCATATGATAGAAAAAGCATATATCCTTCACTTTTTATTGAATAAAATAGTTGTAGTATGTAAACACTGATAAAGATTCATAATTATCAGTTCACTTTCAGTTTCAGTTTACTTGGGCATTTGTACATCCCAAAGTCTGAAAATGTCAAGTGGTGCGACCGTGTAACCATATGTACAGATTAAGTAAACAACTAAAAAGGATAATGTAATTATCAAAACATTGGAGTGATTTTACAAAATCTTTAAAAATGTTAACTGCTGCAAAATAGGGCAACTTTAAAACATTTCAACTTAATTGCAAAACTTTTGTCTGTAAATTCTGTTTTCCTCAAATGTCATATGGTACAACCAACAACAAGGACTTTTATTCTGACATGCTTGGATGGGGTGTTACATTGTAAAGAAGTGCCCTTCATGGCGCAATGCCAAGGTCATTAGTTCTTTCACAAAAATTGGAAAAATGATTCATGGTTAGGCTGGTTCAGTGTTAAACTATACTGTTTTTTTATGAATGCATGGTGGTGCCAACTGACATATGGTAAAATTATCCTGTTTAAAAATCACTGACCCTAAAACAATTGAGATGATGAAGCAACTGCAGTTTTATTGTACATAACATACACACACTGACTATGTAGCTGTCTTTGAACCACAGTGTAATTGTTGTCCCATGTAGTATTTAACAGCCAGTATCAACAAACGTCTGCGGTTGATCTCTCACATTCCCTTCATTAGCATTCTCCTCTATGGCGATAGTAATGAATGGTGTGACAGGTAGAGGCCAACACAGCTAATAAAAGGTCATTCTGTAGCTTCAGTCTGACTCGGGCTAATGGATGGACTGACATTTGAATACAGGAGTTACCCCCCACACCCACCCCCCAACTGTACTGCAGGATTTGACTGCCTGTTTCCTTCCCTTTTCCTCCCTCCTTATTCTCCACATGCTCGACTCCATCATTCACTTTTCTATAAAGCGTGATATTTTCCCTCTTTTTTCCACCAGCCTGCCGTTCTGCAGAGTATTAGGACTGAAGTGATGGCCGGCAGCAACCACACAAAGAGCCTGTACAGGCGTGTAATTTCACCATCCACAGAAAACGAGTGCACTCATGTATTTCTGAATACGTTAGCGCGTCTGTGGGTAAATAGCATGGATATGGGTGCGAGTTATATTTTCATGCATTCGAATATACTGCATGTTCTACACATGCAGGTTTTGAGTGAATGCAAATGTATGACAGTTGTAAGATATATAGTTTTTTTTTCATTTGTGCCCAAGTACAAGATGCATATGTATGTGTATAAGTAGCATGAGCTATGTTTGCATCATGCAGGTTTTTGAGTGCATGCAAATGTGTGGCAGTTGTATGATATGTAGTTTTTACCATTTGTGTCAAAGTACATGATGCATATGTATGTGTATAAGTAGCATGAGCTATGTATGCATTTATGTATATGGATCATTCTACCAAACTGGTTACATGTCAGAGTAACTGACTTGGACTTTAGACTAAAATCCTTTTGCTTTGAGTGATTTTGTTTATACCTTAATTCTGTTTATTTATTAAAACAAATGATTGAACGTTCCATGTTCGTCACTACCAAAACAATCATAACACTACAGAAACTTTACCAAATGATTCGTTATTGACTGTTTGGGTAGTGACAATTTTAGCTAATTTTAGCGGAACTCAAAAATACAGCTTTGAACACAAACATGCATAAACACACCTTACACATCATAATATTTTTTATTAAAAAGGATAGTGTCATTTCTTTTGACACACTGTTAGTGTTACACACTGATTTTCAGACTTTGCAACACATTTAGTTTCAAACAGCGGTATTTAACTGCTCACCATGTGACCATGAGGGACAGGGATGCAGTCTCACTTCCTGCTGTATGATTTATGATGTATCTAAATCTTTCAACTTCACTTTAAAAGAAATTAAAAATATCTTTTTAAAAATTAAATAAAAAAATAAGTATTATTTTCAGAAGTTGAAGTTTATGGTTTAGTGTTTGAGACAGATATCTCCCAACAGAGAGAACCCTATAAATCCCAACATGTAAACATACCTCATGTTGCGCAAGTGGTAAGACTGATCATTCATAATGCTCGTGTTACCGTGGCACTAATAGCTTTTAATGTCATGGTGAATCTGCTGGTACATTTTGTGAATCTGGCTCTAGTAGGCTAGCCTGCTGGGCATTCCGGCTAAAACAAACAAACAAAAAAATAAGTAGACCAATCTGTGAGTTAGTGAGTCACATTATACTTTCCTACTCGGAAACACGAGTGCCTAAACATGTGCATGTTGTTAATGACGTGATTATAAAGGCAGGGATAGTGTAGCTGCAAAACTAACTAGGCTAGCTACTCTAGCTGATGTTTGTTAGGTCCAGAAACAGTGAAAATATATTTGAAGAGTTGAAGACGACAAGTTCTTATCAGCATCCAATGTGACACTTGTTAGCTCTTTTAGCCCATTAGCTCATCTCAAGGGGCAGCCTCCATCACTCGTCCAGTACAAAAACCTACTCATGTCCCTTGACTGTTTTTGAATAATAAGATGTTCATCTGCATGCTGCTGTATTTTTGTATACCTACAAAAGCAAGCCTACAGCTCCACATTATTTTCTGCCAAAGTCCCCTTTTTTGCCGTTGTTTGAGTGGTGATGAGCGCTCACATCACAACAAGAAGATAAAGTGGGCGTGGTCTTTGGCTTTATTCCCAAAGTAGCACTGTCTCTAATATTTACATGGGTGATATACTGTTTTCCTTTAAAAATAAAATATTTATAAAAGCCAGGTGTTCTCGAACTGTTAATGTGTATTACATGTCAACAAGATTGAGTGTTTATGTGTATAAACGTGTGTATTGTACCTGGACAGGGCTGCGTGTTACACAGGGCCTCCTCAGTATGCAGGCCAAGGCAGATGTCCCCTCCATAGGCCGGCGGGGGGTTACTGCAGGTCCGGGTCCGAATGTAATGACCCCCTCCACACGTCACTGAACATTTGGACCAAGGTGACCAGCAGGACCAACTACCGTCCACTGAGAGAGAGAGAGAGAGAGAGAGAGACAGAGCGAGGACACAAAGGTTATTACTGAGAGCACCTTAAAATAGTGGTGGAATTGCCTAACATGTCGTCATTTCATTTTAATCCTGAAAAGTGCAGATTCCAAACTTTCAATCAATACCACATTTGTCTTTATAAGTAGAAGAGGGGATATTTTATTATATTTTATAGAATTTTGTCATTTTTCAGTCAGAAATTCAAACTCAAACATATTGATACAGACAATCAAATGTAAATGTAATTCATTAGGTAATTTGCCATGTAATTCAATATTATAATTATATTAAGTACATGTAATATTAAGTATATTTATATACTACGTACATTTAAATGGTCTATTAAAATAACATTGATAGATGTTAGATGTCTCAGAGTTAACAACCAACATTTTATATCAAAATATAAACTGTGTGTTGTTTAATCAGTTTTAGTGCAGTATGTGTCAGTGCAGATCTTTTTGAGGTAATCATTTCTCACGGAGCACTGCAGTAAACTCAGCTAATTGGCTTACATAGTGTGTTTATTTCACCCCAACTAGAAGCAGGCAAAACTGATCTGCTTCTCAAACAGCTGTTTCTAATTAATACTGTAGAGCTGTTGATGCTCGCTGTAGCAGCAAGTATAAATGCCTCGGTCATGCACCACACTCCCCTCACACAACAAAACACAGCTCACTCATTACCAATACTAAATGTGTTAAGAACATGTGGTCTTGCTATCTAGCATTATCATTTAGAACGTACAAAGAAAAAAATGAAATGACAAAAAATACACATTTAAACATGAATTAAAAACACATGCATATGTATATATGTACAGTCATATTCTCACATACACTCTCCGAGCACTTTATTAGGAATGCTATACTAATACTGCATAGGCCTCCTTTTGCTTTCAAAACAGCCCCAATTATGGATGTTGGAAACATTCCTTTGAGACTAGTCCTTGTTGACATGACTGCATTATGCACTTCCTTTAGATTTTACTCATTCTACCACATCCCAAAGCTGTTCTTTTGGGTTCAGATCCAGTGACTGGGAAGGCCACTAAAGAACCCTGAACTCATTGTCATGTACATGAAACTAGTTTGAGACAACTTTTGCTTTGTGACATGGTGCATTATCATGCTAGAAACAGCCATAAGAAGATGGGTAATTTGAAGGGAAAATGAAGGGGTGAACATGGTTAGCAACAATACTCAAACAGGCTTTGGCATTCAATCGATGATTGATTGGTATTAGCAGGCCTAAAGTGTGTAAAAATGATTCCCCACACCTGTACACCACCTCCACCAGCCTGGACTGTTTACACAAGGCAGGCTGGGTCCATGGATTTGTGCTGCTGGCCTCAAATTCTGACCCTACCATCTGTGTGTGTCAGCAGAAATCCTGATTCATCAGACCAGGCTATGTTTTTCCAGTATTCAACTGTCCAATGTTGGTGAGCCTGTGCCCACTGCACCTAAGCTTTCTGTTCTTGACTGACAGAAATGGAACCCGACATGGTCTTCTGCCGTTGTAGCCCATCCGCCCGTTTCCGTCTGCAGAACTGCCACTCACTGGATGTTTTTTCCTTATTGCACCTTTCTGAGTAATTCTAGAGATAGTTGTGCGTGAAAATCCCAGGAGATCAGCAGTTATAGAAATAGTCAAACCAGCCCGTCTGGCACCAACAATCATGACATGGTCAAAATCACATTTTCCAACCATTCTGATGGTTGATGTGAATGTTACCTGAAGCTGCTGGCCTGCTGCATGTACTGCTGCCACATGGTTGGCTGATAACTACATGAATGAGTAGGTGTACAGGTATACCTAATAAAGTGCTTAGTGACTGTATTATATTAATGTATATGATGTACACATTTGTATGAAAAAAATTAAAGAAAATACAAATAAAGTTAAGGTTTGGTATCTATCTGTTGGTCACTCCATCCATCTCTCTCTCTCTCTCTCTCTCTCTCTCTCTCTATCTGTCTATCTAGTCTGTTATATTTAAATAATTGATGGTAACAGAGATTGTGTTTTCGTGTCTGTTATTGTTGAACAAGCTCAGATCGGCTCATGTCTCCCTGTTGTACTGCCCCCGACCCTGACGCTAATTAATGAGGGCAAACAAACCATCAACACCGTGTTTTTCTCGTCCTCTCTCTCCTCTGGTGTAAATGAGCAGTGAACTTGAGGAGATGGTCCGCGACAGCAGGGCTAACGACTCCCGCAAAACGCTTGGCCACTTTGAGCTCTAATTAACTCAGTGTAAACACACTTATTCACCCATTCCACCTCACAGCACATCAGAACATCAGAACTCAGACAGGTCTGAAGACCTGCTCCAAGTGTTCATGTCATTATCCCCCCTGCTACCCCAAATGTAGTTAATCAGCCAAGAAATGTTTGGTATCTAAAGTCTGCATGTTTAATTTTGCAGTGGAGATGTTTTCTGATATGCTGTTATCTGTAAGCCTGGACAAAAGTACAAGCAAATTTCAGGCTTCAAGATAGCTACACTTGTCAAGAAGCATATGTCAGAGCAAAGCAGGTCTTGGCTGATGGACTACTTCTGTGGTAAGGCTGGAAGTTGTGCAAATTAGATTTTTTGTTGAACTATTCCTATTAAAATAGGACGTCTTAGGATGAAGAACCAGTGGCTATAAAATGGTCACTTGGAGTCAGTTTCCAAGTCTCTACAGCAGTAGCCATTTTCTAGGGTATCCAACTGTTCCTACAATATATGGTTAAAACATTTGCATTACATTTACATTTACAGCATTTAGCAGATGCTCTGATCCAGAGCGACTTAAAAAGTGCTTTGCTGTCTACGCAGAGAATGTAGTACAAATAGGTTAGAATAAAAGCTACTCCTGAGCTCAGATATTGCTAGAAAACAGAAGCCTATGTTGATACCTAGAGAAAAGAAACAGAATTAGACATGCAATACAACACATTTCAATAAGTACTTATATTACTGCTCATAAGTGCTGTAAAAAGAGATGTGTCTTTAGTCTGTGTTTGAGGACAGCGAGAGAGTCTGCTGTTCAGACAGCCAGTGGGAGTTTGTTCCACCACCTGGGTGCCAGGACAGAGAAGAGTCTTGATGCTTGTCTTCCCATGTGTCTTGAGAAATGACGGGTCAATCCGAGCTGTACTTGAACCTCGAAGGGCTCGGGGAAAAGCAGTGAGCATCTGCGGTGTACATGATCAAGTGGGAACTGGGAAGCTTCCGATTTCCAAGTAGGAAAAGTCTAATTTAAGTTTTTTTTTTCCTGACCTCAAACAGCTGATCTTGCATGAATGCTTTAAGTGAAAAGTAGGAGATTCCAAGATGGAAAATTCCAAGGTCCCAGTTGTCATGAACTGTCAATCGACTGTTCACTATATTGCCCAGAAATAACTTTGTGTCTCCAGCTTAACTTCGGAAAAGTTTTGAAACAGTGGACGAGTGCCATTTGTTATCTCGCTTGCCTCTCACTTTGAAGAAATATTAAATGTTCATGTTTTCACACTTAAAAAGTAAGGGTTGTTGAAATGTTCACAGCTACCTGTTAACTATGTAGCTAACCAGCTACTTCCATCATTAAACTTTACATATACACTTTGATGTTAATGTTAGCCTCTAACTACTTTGTACCTACAAACTAATCTATATTTTACAAGTACTTAATTCGCAGTAATGTAACACAGGACAACCCAATAGATAGTACTCATTTGATGTAACACTTGTGGAGCCACTCAGATAGCAATCATTTGTACACTGTTAGTTAATAAAGCATCTTGACAGATAATGGCTGCAGTAACAACAGCAACAAAAACAGTGTGTTATTATAGCATCCTGGCTGTCCGACATAAGCTACATTCACATTACAAGCCTCATTGCTCAAATCCGATTTTTTGCTCAAATACGATCTCTCTGACAGGAAGGTTCACACTCCCTCAGTGACTCAAATCTCAAATGTGAACGAACCGGCATCCTGAAATGTGTCCACACAGCCCTGAAAACATCAGATCTGAGTCCCATTAGGGCAAAAAATTAGATTTGTGCCACTTCAACCTGGTAAAATCAGAATATCGCTGACTCTTCCACAGACTAAACATTTATATGATTATCTAGCAATGTGTATGCTTTTGGCTCCTGCGATATGTATGCTGATGCAGTATTTACAGAGTAAAGACTTTTCTTTGTATCTCGATTTGGAAGCCATAGCCGACATTGAGTGCTCATACACATTATGCTGACGGAATGTCAACAGTTTTTTTCAGGTTTTGTGAATACTATCTATAGCAATGCTAATGGAAATTAGCATTATGCTAGCAGTGTTAATTGAGTGAAGACAGGCATAACTGCATTAACTATGTGTGACTGACACACAGCTGTATCAGTGTAAAATGGTCATGAAATAACTGGAATATCCCATCCTAAAAGTTTTGGTACGGCTAAAGCACAGCACTTTGGGAGAGCTTTCTGGTTGGGGTTGTTTTACCACATCGGTATGTGCTGTTCCCGCATACTGTCACATGTAATTGAGCTGTCAATGTCCGAAGGTTCCTTCTACTAGGGACCTAGCCAGCACAGGAATTCGTATTCACTATGTATGTATCGAGACACAGCCTTCCACACTATGGGCCTGTTTCTTATACAGAGATTAAGCTTAGTCCATACCACTGCGGGAGACAAGTAGGTGTGTTTATATCAGATGTATCACTAGTTTCATTTTTTATTTTGCCTGCAGTGTTTTTTTCTTAAGAAGAATGAGTTAAAAGTCATAATTAATCATTATTTCCCTTTGAGTAAAAAGGTTAAAGGTTAGGTTGTGTAAGGAGAGTCCAATTTCTGAGCAAAATATCAACTCCCAACAGCCAGCGGCTACAGACAAGGTGTATGATGAATCTAGAGTAGACGCTCTTCTCACTTTATTACGACGGAGGGAAAGAAAGCAGTCTCTTTAGAGGCGCTTTTAAGGAGTTGGGAGCGGCGCGCAGGGGCGTAATTGAACTTCTCCGTGGGGTTTTGTCATCCTTGCTGTAATTTCTCTATCGGAAAGTGACAGATCAGTCAATTTCTGCCGCCGTATGACTGATCGTTCCATCTGAGCCTAGAGCAACAGCCAAGAAGAAAAGATTCATTTATTTCAGAAAGGGGCCAGTGGCAGCTGGGAAACTTCTTTCTCTCTTTTTCTCTCTTTCAAAGTACAATAAAGGTCTGACGTGCTTTCCAAAAAGGCCTGTCACAGTTTGAGTCCCGGCTGGGCTTTATAGGTTCAAGCAAGAGAAACTGAGCTCTAATAGTGTGACCGTTCGTGTATGCTGCCCAAGAAAAGTTTCCCTTCTTCTTAAATTTTCTAAGTAATAATTTCACTGTTACTTTTCAGTTAAGTAAGAAAAAACTCCTGCAAAGGTCTAGTGATCATAAAGCAGCTTTGTGCTAATGCTTTGTGTACAAACCTAGTAGAAGTTGACAAAAGGGACAATTTGTGAAAAGCCATTTAAAACAAAAAGCAGTGATTCGTAAATTCTGTTTGAGCAGTATTAAATTGAAAACTGTATGAAACACATATTTGTTGTTTTAATTTACGAACTTTATGAATGTTTGCAGTACAATCCAAAAATTTGGGACAGAAGCATGTTTAACACACGTTTACTTACAGCATCACCTTTCCTTTTAACAGCACTTAGGAAACATTCGGGGAGTGAAGACATTAAGTGATCCAGTTTTGAAAGTGGATTTCTTCTGCCATTCTTCAGTCAAACAAGTCTTCAGCTGAGCAACCGTATGGTATTTATTATTTCATATTTCACACTTCATAATGGTACATACATTTTCAGCAGGTGACAGGCAGGTCACTCTATATCTGCATATATTATATTTTTGAACGCTGGTAACAGGATGGTCCTTTATATTTTTGACATAGAGAACACGATGACCACTATTTCTACAAACAATTTGAAAGATGGACTTATCAAACTAAAATATGTGTTCTCTGTGCATCAGTCCATTTCAGATGAGATCGAGCCCAAAGAAGTTGGCAGCATTTCTTGACATGGTTGACATATAGCTTCCACTGTGAATATTACAGTTTTAACTTGCATTTGTGGATACAGCGACAAACAGTGTCTAACAGTATTCTTAAGCCCATGCAGTGATAGCCACCACAGATTCATGCCAGTTAATGAAGTGGCATCTGAGGGATCAAAGGTCAGGGGCATTCAGTTGTGGTTTTTGGTCTTGCTTTTTCCGGATTTTTCTGGATTCCCTGAATCTTTTGATAATTTTATGCTACATACAGGGTGAAATACCAAAAGGAAAGTTGCTCTTAAACTGCTGGATTATTCGCTCATGCATTTGGCAAGCGGCAAGCCTCAACTCATCCTTAATCATAAAGGACTAGGCCTTTCCTGAAAGCTCCTTTTGTACTCAAGCATGATTACATCACCTTGTTTTTCTGTTTACTGAACATTAAATGTTGTTCATAGTCTTAAATTTCCCCTGTCCCAACTTTTTTGGAATGTGTTGCAGGCATCAATTTTTAGAATGAGTGTATATTTACAAAAAAAAAACAATTAAGTCGATAAGATAAAACAGTAAATATCTTGTCTTGAGACAGCTTTCGTCTAAATACAGGTCAAAGCGGATTTACAAAGCACTGCTTCCTTTTTTTATTTGCATTTCACATACTGTCCCAAGTTTTTTGGAAATGGGTTTGTATATTTAGCTTCAACACAACTTCATGTTCGTCAAAGTGCCTTCTTTTGTATGAAGAGAATAAAATGCGTAACACTGGCACTAATACTATTACAAATATATAATGTGATATTGTTTTCTTACAAATAACCACACTTAGACTTTAATATAAGTCTTTGAAAACCAAACAAGAAAACGTGCTTATTTGTATTAAAAGACTCTTTAATACAGCTAAATATCATGATCTTGCACTACGTGTCGTCCCCTGTCATATTATCTGTTTACCAATGTTTACATTTTATTAGAAACACCAACCTTGTACTTCCACTCACTGACCACTTTATTAGAAACACCTTGCTTGTACTTCCTCTCACTGGCTACTTTATTAGAAACACCTACCCTGTACTTCCTCCCACTGGTCACTTTATTAAACACCTAGCTTGGACTTGCACTCACCTGCCACTTTATTAGAAATACCAACCTTATACGTCCGCTCAGTGGCCACTTTATTAGAAATACCAACCTTGTACATTCACTCAGTGGCCACTTTATTAAAAACACTTACCTTGTACTTCCACTCACTGACCACTATATTAGAAACACCTACCTTGTAGTTCTACTCACTGACCACTATATTAGAAACACCTACCTTGTACTTCCTCTCACTGACCACTTTATTATAAACACCAACCTTGTATTTCTTTCATTGGCTACTTTAATAGAAAGACCTACCCTGTACTTCCACTCATTGACCACCTATCTAACACTAGAAACACCCACTAATCATTAATGAAGGGCTAGAAGACGACTAACACAAACTGTGCATCAGCAGCTACAGTCTCTTTACACCAGCAAGATGAAGCTACAAGGTAGGGGTTTCTAATGAAGTGGCCAAAAGTGAATATATACTGTTTAATACAGTTATAAATCTATATATATAGCTTTCTTAATTCACTTCTAAACATCCCACTGAAGTTGAAACAATACAAAACCACCACTGTCGTGGCCCTTATATTAGCAATGCAGCTACCCTCGCTACAAATGAAATTAGGAGGTTCCTGCCCAGAAGGGATCAGCTTTTCAGTTTGTCGGCACAGACAATGATGGATGGCCTCTGTTGAGCAGATCTCAGGTTTGGACGTCTGGTGTCTATGGCGACGGCATTTGATTAATAATGATTATAAATGAAATTCCTCATTGTCTGTTGCCGCAATGTCTTCTGCCAGGTGTCGTTTCATACTTAAGAAGCGTATTTCCATTTAGAAAGCACATTTCCTCCCAGTATCACTCATTCACTCATTTAATTAGGCACACTCTCCTCCTCCTGCTGTATTAGAGCAAGGAAGAGCGCGTTGTTGGAATTTTCTGACGACACAATCCTGCCTCCGAGTCGCAGGCAGAATAATTAGCCTGAAATGTGATTACATGAAATGATGCCGCAGGGATTTCTCTCCATTTCCGCCGATAAATTAGGGTCTTTGCACCTTCTAACAGCAGCAGTTGTGTTTTATACTCTGATATAGGTGTGACATATGAAAGTGGCCTTTTTTTACTCTATGTTCGCTTTATTGTTCATCAGTGCTCAACACCACTCTAACACGTACAGATTACCTTAGGGATGCTACTGTAAAATGAGATGTGTTCACTTAATAATCACTTGAGTGAAGAGTACTAAAGGCAATAAAATACACAAGAGAGGTTACAGTTGGAGTGTGGGTGTGAATTTTTCTGTTCAAAAATTTGGGATCACTCGCCATATTAATATTAACAATTTTACTATTTTATTTATGATTATAACTTATAAAGTATAGATTCAAATATAACTATTTGACAAAAGGTATTTTTAATTATATATTATATGAATTAGTAGTTACTGAATGATAAATAATATACTGTAATTATGTATTTACCCTGTTTGTTGTCCATATATTTGCCCTGAGATCAAAACTGGATATTGATTAGAAATGCACCAAGTCAATTTGTTTATCAAAAATAAACTTATAATGAAGACAGTATGTGGGCTAAAGAATATTCCACAAAACTGAATGTCCTTGACAACAGAAAATGGTTGTTTATTCAACACAATGAATTCCATTATTTAGTTGTTCTCTCACTTTGGCTGCAAAATTTTTTCATTATTTCATAAAGAGTCTACAGCCCTTTGATTTCCGCCTCTGTTGTTTTGCTGTATGCTGTATATGTGTCTACATTAGTGCCTCTGTTTTGTAGCTGTAAACTGCCTTTAAAAAGTTTGGGAATGCCTAGCTCTTTAAAATGCTTTTAACAAACAAAGCTAAAGGCTTCACATTGTATCCTCTGTGGTGTCAGCTCTCAAATCTAAATTAGGATTGGATTAAGGAAAAGGCCATTTTTTATCTAATAAAGTTTACTGAAAAAATACTCAGTATGTACTTTCTCTGCCTCTACCTGTCAGCTTCGTCTGTGTGACAAGCGATTTTTTTTGGTGCAACAAAATAGTATAAGCCCTATCACCTTGTTCCTTTTTTTCACGTTAGAGAGTCAGATTTAATAGTGGTGTTGTTGAGTAACAGTTGTGGCTCTTGTATGTACCTGGGCAGGGGGTTGTGTTGCACTCCTGGTACTCCTGTGCAGGTCCCAGACAGGACGTCCCACCGTATTTGGGTTTGGGGTTGGTGCAGGTTCTCTTTCGGCTGCGGATGCCTGAACTGCAGTCTCGGCTGCACTGGCTCCAGGAGCTCCAGGCTGACCAGCCGCCATTAACTGTCAGTCCAGTGATCCGGCCCGACCGCAGCAGGTCACCTGTAAAATACAAACACACCCAGACTTGTTTTTATAGAATGTCAGGACAAAAGTTCCCATAGGTCTTCCACACATATTGTTACTGTCAGGACAGTAACTGTCCAGTATCTCCATTTTTGTCATTTCAATTTTTTTTAGATCATTTGAAAATGCCAGCTGTCCTTTACAAAGTGTGAATATTTCATAATGAATGGACCAATGGAAATGCTTCAAAATTTGATGATTGTGAGAGCACTGAAGGAGTATTCAATGCGGGCTTTCAAAACTTGGCGAAGGACATGTCTTCCAAGGATGTGAGTGAGTTATCTACTATTGTCATCATATCTTCATCAATATATTGTTAATTTTGCATTTGCAACCTAAACATCCAGTCAGACCACTGTTTTGAGCCTGCGTGTGTGAAACAGTACACGCGTAAAGACATCTGATGTGGTCCGAAAAAGTCCTGACACCTCTGACTTTTAAATTATTATTTCAGGCTTTACAGGGCATCTCGCAGACATGTGGTGTAGCCAAGGAATACTGGCCCGGGGGAAAGAAAAAAACACTTGCCCATACACAGGGACAGTTAGGACTGACCTCCTGAGCTGAAGACATGAGGACACTCAGATTTAGTGCCGAATCTCAGGGATATGAGGTTTGATGTCTTGTCATAAATAACTCCGACTTTATGATTGACCTGTGATGAGTTGCAGGAGAATATATAGTGCATGAGATGAGCAGCGGACTCTGAGACACTGAGCTGTTTTAATATTAGGCCCTTTCATGGCAGGGTATTAATAGCGGCACCTCAGTGAGATGTACAAAGAGCCACTTGAATTCAGCTGTGAATTTCAATTTAAGTAAATGAACTGGATTTAATTTGGCCAACTGAGGAGAATGCCATCAAATTCTTTATTTCTCTCATAGTTATACCTCGATCATGCCCTTCAGCGTGACATCTGCACAGTATCTTCCCTTTAACTCTTTCAGTCCTACATTAAGGCCTTTCTTTTGTGTAATTTTGTGTTTTGCTAAGTTGTTATTTTGATTACAGCATCAAGCATTACAGGTCTATCATTAGACTCAGCACAGCCTCTACTGATGAGATATGGCAATCAACAAACACTCATATATACTACAATAAGACTAGGAGATAGTACAAGAGTAGGGAATATTAGTCCACAAACAACATCAATAAACAATTCTGTACACTAGAATAGGAAATGTTAGTCCATAAACAACCTCAAAAACCATCCCTATACACTACAATAGGAAATATTAGTCCATTAACAACCTCAATGAACACTCCTGTATGCTAAGATAGGAAATATTTGTCTATAAATGACATTAACAAATCCTTCTATACACTAAGAGACATAAACAATCTCAACAACAGCTTCTATAGTGTAGAATAGAAAATATTAGTCCATAATCAACCTCAATATCCACTTCTATACTCTATACTTCATAAACAACCTTATTAAACACTCCTACACACTAGAATGGGAGATATTATTTCATAGATCATCTCAATGATTCTATACACTAGAACAGGAGATTCTAGGAGGGTAATTAATAAACACAAAGACAGTACCAAACTCCTTTTTTCCCACCATAGATCGACTAATTAGCCCTAACTTATCTACTAGAGTGGTGGGTGGTGCTTTATCTTCTAAAATATGCAAGGAGTCTGCAATTCATTTTCAAAATAAAATAGACTTGATAAGACAGAACATAGCTCAGCCAGCTGAAACTAGTGCCTATAACCTTCCTGATGAGCTGCCTACATCAGTGATGACATGCTTCTCTGTTATCAGTCATCAGGAGCTAATAAATGTTACAAACAAATAAGTTCGTCCACATGTTATCTTGACCCTGTTCCTACTTCATTCCTTAAGATGGTTTTTGATTGTGCTTAAAATGTTATCTAAACTATTGTAAACCATACTTTGTCTACAGGTGCTTTTCCAGATGCTTTTAAAACTGCCCTGGTGAAGCCTCTACTTCCTTTTTTAAGTTAAATCTAGAAAAAGTTACCTTCAAACAATTAGATGCGTATCTAATTCAAATAATTAAATAATAAATCAAATAAGTTATATGAGAAGTTTCAATCAGGTTTTAATTCTAACTATAGTACTGAGACAGCATTGGTTTGTGTTGTGAATGACCTCAGACTTGGTGCTGATACAAAAAATCCTTCTATTCTGGTTGTATTGGATCCTAGTGCAGCTTTTGATACCGTTGATCACAAGATTCTAATACACCACCTTAAATATTGATGAGGCCTCTCAGTTTTAGACTGGTTTAAATCATATTTAATGCATAGACAATTCTTAGTTTCTGGGAAATCATTCATCGAAGAGTCCCACAGGGTTCAGTTTTAGGGACCTTGTTCTTCTCTTTGTACATGTTACTTCTAGGTGATGTCTTTAGGAAACATAACATCAATTTTCATAGCTATGCTGAAGACACGCAATTATACATTTCGATTCCTTCTGATGATCAAGAGTGTCAGATATTTCTCAGTGGATGTTGTACAATTTATTACAACTTAAAAGCGTATAGCCTGTAGTAATCCACATGTGAATGCAGTCATGAAAGTAACTTTTTATCATTTGAGAAATATCCCTAAAGTTCAGCCTTTTCTGTCTCAGAGCGACGCAGAGAAACTAGTTCATGCATTTGTTACAAGCAGAGTTGATTACTGTAATGCTCTTCTTACTGGACTTCCTAAGAAAGCAATACATCCTCTACAACTCCTGCAAAATGCATCAGCACAGATTCTAACACAGGCAAAAAAGAGAGATCATTCAGTCCTGTTTTGAAAGAACTGCACTGGCACTCTCTTACATTTTAAAATTTTGCTACTAGTTTTTAAGGCTCTAAATGACCTTAAAGCACTGCTTACATCACAGAATGTCTTTCTGTTTGTGTTCCAACACGTGATCTCAGATCTGCAGATACTGACTTTCTGAAAATACTTTCCATAAAACACAGAAAATGTGGAGAGGCCTGTTTCAGTTATTACACCTCTAAACTGTGAAACTCAAATCCACCTTTTTTTAGACAGTCAAGCTCAGTTCACATGTTTAAGAAACACTTGAAAACATATCTCTTTAACTTAGCATTCAATTAAAACTCTACGTCTCCTTGATATTTCTTTTTAACTTGTCTGTTACTGTAAAACATTATTACCTGTCTATACTGCACTTTGAGCTGCCACTGGTATGAAAAGTGCTCTATAAATAATATTATTATTATTATTATTATTGTTGTTGTTGTTATTTTTATTATTATAGTCCATAGGCAACCTCAATAAATGCTCCTATACTCCAGAATAAGAGAAATTAGTCTGTATACAATCTCAATAAACACTCCTGTACACTAGTATAGGAGACACTAGTCCATAAACAACCTCAATAAATGCTTTCATACACTAGAATAGAAGATATTGGTCCATAAATGGCCTCAGTAAATGCTTCTATACACTAGAATAGGAGATAATAGTCCATAAATGACTGCAGTAAACATTTGTGTACACTACAATAGGAGCCTCTATAAACTCTATAAACAATCTCAGTAAACACTCCTAAACATTATTCCATTGGCTGATAAATTTGCTTTTTTCATGAAATGATCCTTGAAAAAAGCAAAATTATCTGTCAACGGAATAAGACTCTTTTACTCGAACAAATCAAACAAGTAAAAACATTTAGAAATAAGCCAAATTAATGAGAAATATTACATATGTAGACTAGATATAAGATCATATCATTTTTTGCAGTGTAGGGGTGTAAATTTCTGACCTCACAACGATTCTCTTAAATTCGAAAACTGATTCAGAACATAATGAAGGATGATTTACCACAATTTAATTAAATTCAGTTGAATTCTTTTAGTACAATTTAGAATTATTCACTGAACACACTAATGTAACTGCAGTAATTATTTACACTGTAGTGGAATATAGACAATAAGCTGTACTTATTTTTTTAGAAAATTATAACAGTACAAAATTGATGTAGCTGAATCGCTACCTTCAGCTTGATGCATTTTTTACCTCTAGCTGTGACCCTCATGTTCTTCCAGAATTTTGGCTTGTTACTTGTCCACTGGCTAATCCTGCTGTGTCCTGACCACAACACTGACCCAAAGTCTTTATCTACAAAGTCCTCCAGCAAACAGCCCTCTAAAAAACAAACAAACTGTTCATAACCTGCTCACACTCAAAGCCCAGAGCAGCGCCCTGCTGGTTCCTGACCAGGGGCCTGGTCAGCGTATGCTCTGACCTGCAGGTAAACAAACAACACACTACTCGACTCCTTAAAGCGACCACAGCTATCAGAATTTTGTCAGTTCCATTCAGATTCTCTATGTGTCAGAGTTTCCACTTGGAAATTTTAATGACAGTCATGGTCATCCTCACCCTTCTGGACGTCCTCACCAACCTTGGAATCACTGACTCTGTGTGGAAGTGGTTCAAGCCCTATCTGGAAGATCGCTCATGCCAGGTAACATGGAGAGGGTCCACATCCTCTCCATGCAGGCTCTCCACTGGTGTCCCACAAGGCTCAGTGCTAGGTCCTCTTCTCTTTTCTCTACACTAGCTCTCTTGGCAATGTAATATCATCTCATGGCTTCTCTTATCACTGTTATGCTGATATTCGGATCTCGGCACGTCTGTCTGACATCTCTTCATGGATGGTAGCTCACCACCTGACGCTCAATCCTAGCAAGACTGAGCTGCTATTCATCCCTGCAACTACAGGTCCTCATCATGATCTTGCCATCTCATTCGAGAACTCTCTGATTGTCCCATCTGTAGAGGCAAGAAGTCTTGGTGTGGTTCTGGATGGCCAGTTATCGTTCTCGACTCACATTGCGAACCTAACTCCGTCATGCAGATTTCTCCTGTACAACATCCGGAGGATCCGACCCTTTCTCACTCGAGAGGCCACCCAGGTACTAGTGCAGTCTCTTGTCATCTCAAGGCTTGACTACTGCAACTCGCTCTTGGC